CCAAGCCCACCCCTCCCCTGCGCATCCCTCGCGGGGCACGGTCCTCTCCAGCAGCCCCTCAGATGGATTTATATTTATATTAAAAGATGCTTTTACATTTCTCCTGTCTCTCTGCCGTGGGATGCCCCTCGCGTTCTTCCCAAGCTCTGGATTTGCACTGGGGATTGGGGAGGAGACGCTCCCTGGACCAGCCCCCGGGGAGGGTCACCGGGGGGGGCCCTGTGGCTCTGTCCCCCCGGCACATAGCCCGCAGCCACGCCGGGCAGCCCATGGGACCCCGCCGGCCGCGGGGAGGGCTGGACTGGGGATTCCCACCGCCCTGCCGTCACCTGACAGCTGCTTTTCAGGGCTAGACGTAAAGGATATTCCCTTTAGAGATGGGTCAAATGGTTTCTTCATTTTAAAGGGCACCTTAGGAAAACACAGTGCGTGTATTTCTCTTTTTTTCTTTTCGGCAGCCGATAGCTTGTCCTCTGACGGGCAACTCCAGCGGCATCAGACAATTTTCTGAAAGAAATCCCATTTTCCATCCCTTTTATTTTGGCCCTGCTATATTTGGTCCTATTAACGGTCATCAAGGAAATGGGGGTTTGCAGGGAAAAGAGGAGGGTTTTTTTTTTAGGTGAGATGATACAGGTGAAAAAAACAGGGAACTGAAGCTCTCATCCAGGTCCACGTGGGAGTCACTGAAGTTAAACCAAGACGACGTGCTGGAGTTTAACTTGGTTAAACTTGTGTCAGTCGACGGAAGATGCTGTCATTCCCGTCCCTGTTGCTGTTAGGCTGCAAACTTCAGATTTTTTTTTTTCCTAGCATACTAAAACCCATCGTGGTAAACCAGTTCCCCTAGACGTGGGTTGGCGAGGCGACCTCCCCGCTCTCCGGGGAGCAGCCATCTCCCCCTGCCCCGCCACCTAAAGGGACGTTACAATCGCAAATGGGCCACTCCGTCTATTGCACAGATCAACGGCTCCTCGCTGGCGCGGCCCCGCGGCTCCCGGCAGCGGCGGCAGGTAGATCTGGCCGGCACGTGGGACACCATCCCTCTCGGTAAAGGCAACAGCACCCGGACCATCAAAATCCTCCGGCCAACGTGAGTGCCACCGTGTCCTGGAACTGCGGCAGCCCCGTCTGCCACGCGAGGCTCGGCTGCGAGCAGGAGCGATGAGAAAAGCAGCTACGTGCCGTGAGTATCGAGATGCTGCAGTGTCTTTGATTCCCGGGGTGACTTCAAGGCCGTCCCAGAAACATCCCCGCGGCTGGTCACAGGGCACGGTTGTGGTTTTGGTCCGGGGAAGTGTTTGCACGCTGGCCCGTGTCCAAAAGCCTTCGGCGTGCAAGCGAGAAGCTTAATTATCGCTGTCCTCATCGAGCCAGGGAAAATTATTGCTCGTTTCGTTGCAAAACCTCTTCCTGCGAGGTCCGGCCACTTAAACGTGTGATCCCTGACCTCTGGGACGTCACCGCAGCTGCTCCGGTCACCTGCCGGCAGCTGGGGCCCGGAAATGCTGCCTGGATTGTTGTGCCGTGGTGCATCCCAGGGGGCTGAGCGGTCGCTGCCGATCCCTCAGCTTTCCGGGGGGGACCCCTTATTTCTTTCATGCTGTTTATTTCATTAACCAGCCTGGAGCTGGCTTGGGGAGGGACACAAAACGTCGCGTGGGGAGGAGTGGGGATGAGCTGCCGGCAGCCTTTGCCGGGGGACGGCGCCAAGCCCGGGGCTGGGTCCCCCATGGAACACGGGGCAAAACGCCATCCCGGCTCTCCTCGGCCGGCAGCTGCCGCTCCCCGTGTTTAACGCTGGCGCCGGGGGGATAATCCACCGATTCTTTCCTTCCCAGTTCCTGACAATCCTGTGTTTAAGGGTGAATTAGTGCCGGATCCCCACAGGGGGGCTAAGAGGATAAATGCTGGACGGGCGCCGACCACGCACCCGCGCAGCGCCC